GGGTTCATCATTGCCTGGCAAAGAATGTTGGGAGAGGGGGGGTGTAGGGGGATCAGCGTCGCAACGAGAATCAGAACTACTCGGCCACGGCTCCTCACCTCTTATAATCAAGAATTAGTAAATCTTTTTCTTGTAGTAAGTAGAGCCGTTTGTAGTAACTGACAGCCTGAGAAATGGAGATGTTAACACTAGCCTTGGTTTCTGAAAGAGCTTGAAAAGTGCGCAGTAGCTACGAAGAATACACGCGGCGCTTTCGAGTGGTTAGTTCATAGTTTGAATGTGCAGCGGGTTATGTGGGCAGTTGTACAGTGAAGATAATATGATGAGAGAACCTCATCGTCACGAAAGATGAGATATCACCGAGGAGATTTTCACAAAGGTATCTATAGTAGAACGCCCATAAATAGGACATGCTCAATTCATATTGTCATTCCATGTCGCTTATCTTGTAGAAATCAAATGATCTTTTCCTAATTGCCACTTTTTGGATCGCCATAGCTCTTTGCCCCTGTTCCATAACCAGCTCTCAACATCGAATATTTGAAGTATTATCTGCAACAGTATTCAGTGTGAAACTTGGGTTCTTCTCCGTTATACTCACCCTGTTTCAGTCCCCTGGGAAAAATGCATTTTTGCTTTTTCCCCAAGTTTCACTAATCAGTCGATAGCTTAAATCTCTATAATTATAATGGTGTACTTTATTTCCAAAACGCTTACTGGTTGTGACAGCGGACAGAGTTATGATTCACATTCGAGCATTTTTCGATGTACAGAACGTCGATGATTACAGCAGTACACGTACTTTTTTTTCAAAAAAAAAACTTCTTAGTGCAGTCCTAGCAGCCGAAAGGAAATTAGGCGTTTGGTATGTGGGTGGACTTCGCAACACTGCAGTAAACAAACGCGCTCTCAACGTAACGTTTACTTGCGAAACCAACTTCTTTTGGATGCTACAGCACATTGAAAAAGTCTTATTCCAAGAACAAAGTTGTATTATTGGGATCGTCAAGCTATCGAATGATTACTAAAAGATGCTTTCATTATTATTTGAGCCAGCATGTCATGTGGTTTGGTAACGGCTCTTCTACGGCCCAATACACGTGTTTTCGTCCTCACAGACTCGAAAGTCGGGCAGAACCCGTCGTCTTTCGTTTTTTTTTTTTCTTTTTTTTTTTGATAATCAGTTCTCTCGGGAGCCTGCTCTCCCTGAAGGGAGATATCGAAGACGAACGTTTTACACTCTATGTAAAGCCAGACTCTGTGTTAGGTGAAATCTCGCTTGAATAGAGTGTAAAACGTTTGTCTTCGAAATCCCTTTGCAGAGAGAGCAGGCTATCGAGAGAACTGATCGGGATCTGCCCGACTGACGAGTCTGTAGGACGAAACAGTGTACTGGGCTGCAGAAGAGCCGTTATCAGACTACATGACATGTTAGCTCAATTGATAATGAAAGGATCTATTGAAATTTGAACGTGGTCTCATAAAGCACTCGAAAGAAAGTATAATATGATTACTAAAAGTCTAGAGGAAAGTTTTTTGTTTAGCGAAAAATACTTGAGTGTAAACTGTAATTTCATTTTTACTTCCAAAGCACACTAATTGAGATTTAAACTGTCGAATAATTACCTAGACTCTGAAGAAAATCAGAAAACTGTTTTTCTCTCAAAAGGTCGAGACAGGGTTTGAATAAAAGTGTTCCAAATTTACGAAACCCAATCTTCTTTTGGCTGCTATCGCGCACTTAATGGTCGTTACCAGAAACCAAGTATACCATTAAACTTGTCGAGATCTATGCGATCGTATAGTGAACTAGTGCTCATCTTCACACACCAAGACCTTTCTATGCACAAAAAAACATGAGAGAGTCTACGGAGAAACATGGGGCAATATGTAGAATAAGGGAGACGTGAGGGATTTTGTCATAATGTTTGGGGAAAACATGTATCTGTGATGAGATTCACGCATTGAATTTCACCTGCCGTCTCCAGAAGGTTAAATTACATTTTCCATGATAAGAGGTCGGACTGAAAACCTGAGTTTGATTGGTCTACTATCATTCCGTAAGTTATTTAGAAACGTTCCTTATGGTACATACAAACACTTGTAATATGCGTCATAGTTGTGAGTTTCCTATCTTGGTAAGACAAGCTGTCTGACCTATTGAAGCTTCAGTCACTTATAATAACAGAGTTTTACTTACTGTCCCTTCATGTTTCTTTCATTACTACTTTTCAGGTGTCGGATACGGCTGTCAAGATCTCAGGTCAAGGTCCATCGAAATGTTCAGAGAGTATCATGAAATTGATGTTTAAGTATGGTCTTTTGAAACCTATGTTTTTTTTTTTCAATGTGTAATACCCGATTGACGTAGAGTTCGAAGTGATGTGACCTTTTTAAGATCAACGTCATCAAGTGAAGTAAAAACCATTGCAACCAAGGCGTTTTTAGTGCGTTTTGTTTAGCACGTCGCAAGTTGGTGGAACTCAATTTAAAAAATAATTTAGATGGCTGGATTTTATGAAGTAGTAAAATTCTTGACTAATTTTCGAAACGGGTTGTGTTCGATGTTCAGAAGAAGTGCGTAGTGTACTTCATCACTGACATTGTTTCAACATCTGCTTATTTCATGTAGCAGCAATTTTTTGGATCTCTTCCTGTGATTTTGAGCTATTTCTCCGATTATTTTACCTACGTAGTTTGCTTCAGACCCCAGTCTTGAGTTCCACCTTAACTTGCAACAGTACGCTCTGTTTACTTTTGATTGCAAGTGACCTTGGCTGTGAGCACGAAAGTTTTCATAACGTATTCACGAAAGCATCCTGGGCTCTCTTTTTATTTTTGCTATCTTTCCGAAGTCAATTTAAGCAAACTTCAGGTATGATTCTGGTGCAAAAAACTTCACACAAATACCCACGAGACACCTAAGCGCAACCATCGATGGATTTACGATCCAGGACCAATTTTGGCAGAAGCCAAAAGCTTCAAATAGCGGTGCTGTATCTCATAGAAACAATTAGTGGGTTATATTTAGTTTTCATAACATTTATTGGAAGTAAATGGTGTTTAATTTTGGTGAGTACTTTTGTCATTTCATTTCTGCTGAAGCAAGTGTTTGATTGTTTGTTCCTCAAAATTCGAAATGTTGTTATGGTTAATCTATGCAGACTTAGTCAGTCTAATAGTGCCTCTTATTGACTGTTTGAATCAATCATATGCTTGTGAGTTTCAGGTGCAGAGTTCGAAACGTCCATTGAATCTCTGTGATTTACCGATATTTGTTTCGTCGTTTTATTTATTATACTATTTACTATTATGCCTTCCACATCTGAGATCAGAAGATTTCCCTAATCGCTGATATGTCATTTCTCTTTTTTGTCACCCAGTGTTGTTCTAACCCATGCTGTTCTTTCTTCGTCGATTCTAATCGTCTACTGTTTTCGTTCCCGGTGAAAGCAGTGGTTTTCGTCGGATGCTTTGGGAATGTCATGGTGCGCATTGCTGGTTTGTCTTCGTAATTCTCTCGTCTTGGGTTGAAATAGGGTGATTTTTTTCTGACTACTTATTTTTTTATAAGTATTATCGTCACTGGTGCTTTTGTCATATACTTGTAAAGCTTCGTCATGCAAGTAGTGTCTGTGTCTTTTCTGGATACGAAAAATGTATATTACTGTATATTGAGAACAGAGAACTAACTGCATCTTCTTGCATGTAGGTGTAATATGTCTTTGTTTTCTACTGTATGTTTTCTATTGATGAAGCGAAAAATAGGCTCTATGTTTACGAGCGAAACGAATGTAAACCAAGTAAATGAAGATTCAATGAGTAGAATCTTTTCTTACTATATGCCTACACTCATGAACAATGTTCTCACGTACAAAAGTGCCATAATATTTCGTTATTGATCTTCCAGTAAATCTGCTTAACTCGTGGTGCAGGAAGTAGTGGTAGTACTATGAGAACAGAAGGTTCTTGTAGCGGGCAACTGAGGGGTGACCTGCAACGCGCATATGGTCGCTGGTTCGATTTCGTGTTCCGGAATCACCAAAACTTTCATTTTTTGGAGTCGGAAAATTTATACTAGATTTGCTTGAGAAGGCAATAAATCATTGTATAAGCTAGATATTCTTTCAACCACTTTAACGAACAATGAAGTTTAACGCATGGCGCATCCTTCAGGTATTGGTCAACGCCAAACGCTCTATTTATTATGCACGCAGTAACGAAGCTCGTCGAAATGCCGCGAGTGCACAGTCATGTTAGGTCTCATATTGACTTTCAAAGTTCTGAATAGTTCCCTCAAGTGCTTCTATCAGACGAAAGTTTGAGGATGCGGAGATTCTATTGTTTGTGTTTCTTGGTATTGTACTACTTGATTGTGTTCAAGTGTCCCTAGCTTTGGACGAGATCATTTGGTGACGAGGTTGTAAGTAATTGAGCAGCAAACAAATGAGAAGGCAGGTTATCCCTGACCAACTGCAGTGTTACAATTGTATTCGATAAGCTATCAAGTGATCACGAAAAGTCCAGGAAAACACATTTGTGAACCAATAATAAACCAGCGAGAAAATTTGGCACCTATGCTGTTAAACTTCATTCTTTGTGCAATAAGATTTTCCTACCACAGCCATGAGTGACTTTTCGTATATCATTTAACGGAGCATCTAGCGTACAGTGAGTAGTTGTATTATCATATATATATATATATATATATATCTATATATATAATATTTTTAATGTTTAGTGCATGGACATATCCATATAAATACAAAAGAACATGCAGTTTCAAAGTGGCCTACATGTAAGGTTTCCTTCAGTGAGCTTTAAACGTGATTTCCGTCCAATAAATCGGTCCTTTTTCGCTGATCGAAAAATTCCGGAGTGGAACCGGCGTTTCATACCAGGGACGCGTGCTACCACTACACACCGAAGCCAAACATGGTATAGGTTGGTGGCTCATAGTTATCATAGAGATATTGGAAAATGAGTGGTGGTGCGAATGTACCTCAGTGGTGTAGTGGTAGCATGCGTGCCCACCATGGATGAAACTCAGGTTCGACTCTCGCCTGAGGTCGTAATCTGTCCAACATTTAATTCTCTTAGGCTTTAATGATCTAGGATTTTCTCGACTCATTCACATGCTTTTGATGTATAAATAGCTATATTTTGTTAGGAAAAAGAGCTACGCACATGAATTCCACACTTTCAAGCGAAATCTTCGATTGTAAGAGGTGAACTGAGGAAATCCAAAATATGGTAGCCTACTTCGAGGTAATCAAAAGCAAAATCAGAGGAAGCACTGACTGCAATTATAAACTGGCTCGTAAAGATTATAACATGCTTGTTCGCTTTCTAAATCGAGGTTTTTTGTGCTTATACCAATAGATAAATAGGTTTATGCAGTCGCAAGATTTCCTATGCTTTTACTGCTTTTTCGCTGCGGGTTCAACTCCTGCCTGAGGTTAAAATTTTTGCTTACCACTCAATTCTTTTCGGTATGTTCAAATAGGTTTACATTATTATTTCTACACCAATCGTCATCATAATTCATAACATCATAACTGTACGGATTTCATCAGTTTTTGTATTCGATTCGCTTCCTCGTACTCATCTTCGACACAGACCTTCGAATATTTCACGTTTCGCTTGAGGTGCTGCTTGGATAAATTGGCTTTTTCAATGAATAACACATAACGCTAGTCGTGACAATTCATTTTGCAATCTTGGAGGTAGACGAGCTAAGGCGTATTTGAGACTTCCGCGATATAATGTAACCAAATGGATACACGATTTTCTGGAAGCCTTTCTCTGTGAAAGGCTCCTTCCACAAATTTTCAGCAGTTATTCGAAAGTACAAAGCTCGATAATTTCAAAAATGTGTTCGGCTTACTAGAAACCTCTCTTGTTGGGTTGCAGTAGCAAAAATAATATCATGTTTCACACCCAGCTTGATTTATTCCCAGGGTGATATTTGTAGGTGGCTTTTCGCTGGATCATTAGTAATCATTCAATGACCAAAATCTCAAAAACTCGGAAATAAAAACGGTAGCTGATAAGCTTTATACAGAGCGAAAAAGATAATGTTTTGCGCTCGTATTAATTAGCTCATTTCTTGAACATCACAGTGGGTTGTAGTGAAGGTTACAACAAGAAAAAAATCTGAAACAGAGAAAAAAATATCTCATTAAATAACGAAAATCGCGCTCCTCTCGGGTAAGTCTTTGCGCAGCGATCTCAACTATCTCCCTCAAAAGGGTGCGTCAATCAAGAAAAGTGCGAGTTTCGCTATTTTTCTGGAAACTTTTTCTTTGCGAAAATCTTTTAGATTATTGTGTTGCAATTCTAGAAGTAGCTCTAATCTATCGTTCGATAGGTGCAGTCTTTTTTTTTCGCATTGCTAAATAAATCCGCTATGAAGTTCAATCGAGAGGATAAGTATTTCGGATGCAGAACCTAATCTTCTTTTCACTCTTATAGGGCTTTATAAAAACCTTAAGAAGATGTTTTAGTTCCAGAATGTTCGAGTTTCAAGCTATTGGATGACTACTAAAAGTTCAACGACAAGCCGGGCAAAAATCCCGGCCAAGCAGACAAAAAGGAGTGAATGTGAAACATACGTTATTTTCGCTACAACAACATACTAAGAGTAGCATTTCATAAACGATACATATTATTGAAACTTCCGAGATTTAGACTTCCGAATAGTTTATAAAAGTTTGAGGTAAAAGTTTTTTCCTCAAGCTGCTCGATAGTTGACAGTGTTGCAATTGATCGAAATGATAAAAAAGTAAAAGCGTAAATTTGAACCCCAATTGCGAGTATTCAGTATCCAAGGTTTGTCAAATGGTCGCTACAGTGGTTGTACCCTAGCATTTCTTTTGATAGTGCAAGAGCAAAATTCACAATAGATGCATAAATGAGTCACAGTGAAGATCCAGATGACTTTTCAATTGTTCACTCAAATAAATATCAAATTAACATATATAAACGAAAGTAGTAGGAAACAGTTAGTAGGAGTCGTTCTTGTTAGAATATCATGGATTGAACCCGACGATGCAGTGGAGCATCAAGGCTATGGAATAAGAATGATAAAAAAATAAGCGAAAGTTAATGCCAACATTTGATCTCATAAACCAATAAACCCTTATCAGTTTATTATATCACCAATGATATGTGTATTGAAATACCAAACCGTTCAAAACATCTGTGGCTTTCATCTGAACGAAAATCCGGGTGCGTAGCTGAAGCTCGTTATGGCGAGTCTGATGTCCACGACGAGAAGATAACTGTTTGAGTTTGGTGCTTAACTTTTGCGAATACATTCTGAACCACCTTCTATGTAGAATGACTGTATGACATGCTTTTGTGACTCCTCATCGTCTCGTAAAGACTCCTTGAGAGATCGTTGTGCACAACGTTTCTGAGACGATATTGTCGTTTTTTTCTAAAAGCGGCTTATAATCACGTCAAATAATCACACTGGGCGGCTTACAAAGAACTTAACAGTTCTGAAGAAAGCAGAATAGCCAAAATGTTAGCCAGTTTTGCTCTGATTAGAAATTTTATTGATATCCTCGTATCTGTTCATCAAAAAAATAGTGAAATGTTTGATTAATGCCGAGGTAATAAGAAAGTTGTCCTGGGATCGTAATCGATCTACGTATAAGAAGAAAGCCAGGAAGAAATGGAATATAGTCAGAAAATTTACTTTAGCATTGATGAGTTCCAGAGCCAGTGGGGCGAGCTTGTTACTCATCGCGGCTTTACGCTCAGTACGTCGACTAAATGATAGCTCAGTATCACTACGATGCGACGAATGTCCTAAACTATTCGAGAAAGTAATGAGAGATACTGGATGATGCCATAGCTTTGTTAACATTGCACATTGCCTCAGTATAGAATGAGACTAAACGGAAGAAAATTCACAGACGCTTTGATCGACGACCACATAGAGCTTTAGAAGCTTGCGAGCGATTGAACAGTATATAGACCCAAGGATTTACACACGAATTCAGATTGCCGAGCATCATCACGTAAATACTCAGTCTTGGATCTGGAATTGAAGTAGGCGATTTATATCACTTCTGTGGCAAAATTGACGCTTCAAAAAGCCGATAACATCTCTATGAGTACATAAAGTTCGAGCTATAATGCACGCAATTCGTGTATGAAGAAGGAAGAGGCAGAGTACACCAAATTGTACTGATTCAGTAAATCTATTTTCAGTGATTTGCCGTAACATCACGATGGCTAGCTGCTCAAAAACACCTATTTCAATAAGTTTTTTCACGTCCTAACTTCATCCGTAAAAAAAGTTCTATGGCAAAGGACTCACTGAGTACGCCAGGTTTAACAGCCTGAATCATGTTGACAAGACAGAATGGCATCCATAAAAAGAAATTGGTGGCAATAATTGTCATCGTTAGTCGAACTAAAGCGCATGAATTTCAAGATTACTGGTTCTTGAAAATTTATAGTCAATCTTGTTCTTCTAAAAGGTGAAAATTTTGAAGCAATTTTAGCGTCTTTCTACAAAGCTCAGATGGAGTCAGCATATTGCTGAACGCTTTTGAGAATCAAGCGTTAGCACCGAGTATCGCTCTCCGACAACTAGAATTTCTTCGCCAAGCAGCACGTGGTATCCTTATTCATGACCGATCGGCAAGTTCCAGAGCTGATTACGGTGATCAGATTTATAATGTAATATGTCAATAAGCAACAAAAACAGGTATATGTGCTGTTGAATGAAATGTCTTCCAGTCTTTCTAATATAGGATAAAAATAATAGAGATGATTTATATTCACTTCTTATGACGCTCCGAACTTCCAGGTGTGTTGCTATGTGCTGCCATATTAATACAAATAGAATGAACATGTAATATTTCGTGTAAACTAACTGTAGTGGTAGTGCCATTTATTATTGAAATAGAATAGAGAACCTGTTTGTATTCGCTTTCGATCGTATTCGGTGTTTTGGCGACGATGACCACTTGATTTCTTTCGTATACGATTAACATAGTCTTGTGTGATATCACTGAAAACTCGTTATGTTTATTATCTTCAAAAATATAACAGTACACTTGTAAGTTCGATTGGTATGGGGATAGAGAATAGGAGAACAAGTTTCCGAATAAATTTTGATAGTGACATTCTGACATAAATCTACAAGGTGTCTTTACAATGCGCTCAAAATAATCGGCAATCTGGAGTAATTGCATATCAAGACACTCATCGGTTTTAGCAGTAATCATACCCTCCCTCATCAATAATAAATACTGCGTTACCCTAGCAATTCCGTTATCGATATACAGTCTGTGTTTCTTACTCCTCACTTGAATATCATTGTCGACGAATCTGTCGTCAAAGCGGTAGTGGTCAACTTCATCATCAAAATGTTCAAATATGACCATGCATATGAAAAGAATAATGCATAAGGATAAAGCTCCCGGCGTTAGCCTATCCCTGTACTGCTCCAAGAAATGAGCTCCACTTTTGCAAACAAGCTCAGATTGCAGCGCAATCCGTGATTCAGTTCAGTGAGTTGGTCTTAAAGGCCTCTTACCAATACATGAAAGATTGGAATCATATGAAAAACATGTTGCTTCACACGTTTCATGAGGAATTACGGCCCTTAATCGGTTTTGTGATGTAACTAATGGGTTGGGGAAAAATTCTGAGAAAATACCTGTAACCCTTTTGGGTGTCGGCAATGTTTTATGCTTTTGGATTATTTGAAAGCTCGTTTCTTCCCTCGATGATTGGCTTATAACTTACCTGCTTATTTCAAGATGGAGTAAACGAGCGAGCAAATTAGGTTGTTGATGATGCACGAATGGGTGTTTGGTTCAGACGCAACGGTGGTAAGTGAACGTATCAATCTAATTTGCTCGCTCGTTAACTTCATCTAGAAATAAGTAGATTTCTATACCGATCAACGCCGGCGAAGACGGGCTTTCAAATGATTTCAAAAACACAAATAATGGCATAAATTACAAGCATTTTCTCAGACCTTTTCCCCGACCTATTTTAATGAATGAAGACTTCACTGGTCACTCGAGTGAAAAGATGATGCAT